AAACTTGTAATATCTTCACTTCTAAATTCAATTTTCCTTTTTTTTTTTTGGTACTGGGGATTGAACTCAGGACCTTGTGCTTGTAAGGCAGGCAGCGGCACCACTAAGCTAAATCCCTGGCCCAAAATCAATTTTATATTTTAACACTTAATGTAAGTTGGTTTTCTTGAGCTGAAGATTTGTTCATGTATTAGACATCTGGAAATAGAATATTTTTAAAGGTTTCGATGTACCTAAATAGTCTAAAGCTTATTATTTGGAAAAAAAATTTGGCTACTAAATGTGGTCAAATTAATAGTAGCTTGATTCAATTTGGTACAACCAATACTTTTTTTTTGTTGGTGTTGAGAATTGAACCTGGGGCATCCTGCATGATAAAATTCTATAAGGGGAACTTAATTACCCTCAGATACAGTTTGCAATAGAAAAGTTTGGTTTTCTTAATTATTTCAAAATCATGAGTTGGAGCTATGTTCTATCTATATTGGGTTTGTATTGTTTTTAATCATTAAGAAAATTTGGATTGGCAGCATTGACCCCCCAATACTTTTTCTAGATGATGGATTTTAGAAATTTTATGATGAACTTTTATATTCTACCAGTTCTTGCAGTAAAAGTAAACATGACTTGCAGCTTTTTGTTTTTTAAAATAGACATGAGATCAAGCAGACCTCACATAGCATTAGCAAGCACTTGCCCAAACCAAGTCTTGACTTGTCCCAAACATGATCTTCTGCTTTAAAGAATTAAGATTCCACTATTCTTTGAACCATCTGGCATGCTAGCATAAGGAGATCAGTGCAAGCTTTATAGTATCAATTATGTCCTAAGGAAATTAAACCAATTTTCTTAATAATCGTAATTCAAAACTGAAGAGAGTAGTAATAGAAAGCTCTATCAAAATTGGCACTGGGGCTGGGGATTTAGCTCAGTGGTTCTGCCGCCTGCCTCACAAGTGCCAGGTCCCGAGTTTGATCCCTGGTACCAAAAAAAAAAAAAAAATGGCATTGGTTATAAGCTTGAGGTATGCAAATGAGAGGGTGATAAAAGTTTTGCTATTTGTGAATCTAAATAATTTTCTTTCATCAACAGTATGATTCATCCAGCCTTCCAGCTCTGTTATTTAAAGCAAGAACCCTTTTGGGAGCTGAAAACCATTTGCAAAATATCAACCGTCAATTAGAGAAGCTTCTTGACCAAGAATGAGAAAACTGGTCTACTGAAATGTGCCCACATAAAGATGTCTCAGGCTGCTGCACATTACCTTCTGAAACTGTGCTTTTGTAAATAAAAAATCTTTTTCAAAAATAAGTATAGCCTAGTCAACAGTATTTAATATGACTGTTATTGAAATTAAATTACTCCAGTTTGATTATCTTAATACTTTTGGCAGTCATAATCATCTTTTCTGATTAGTGTTTTAACAAATTCCAACATGTTGGGTGGGGGATTTTGCTCAGTGGCACCGTGTCTGTCTCACAAGCACAAGGTCCTGAGTTTGATCCCCGGTACCAAAAATTCCAACATGGTGACAACTTAATCAGCCTCAAGCATAAGATCTTTGGCTTATAAATAAACTTGTAAAGTTACAGTTAATAAGGAGACTTCTGTTGAATTTAAACCAATGCTAATTTTCAATAAAACTGGTATACTTAAGTGAAAAAACAAAATTGGAAAACAAAGTGAAAACTTAGACTGGTTTAATAATAAGTTAATATAATTTAAAAAAAATTTTTGTGTTGGTGCTGGAGACTGAACCAGGCTTTGTGCATGCTAGGCAAGTGCTCTACCACTGAGCCATACCCTTAGGCCTAATTTAGTTTTTGTTATCAAATCTCATAGACTTGAGGCACAGTATAGCCTGGTTCTATAAGTGTTGTCGATAGTGAGCTATTCTTGCAATACTTCTATAATAAGTTCATCAGGAATTTCATTCACTGCACTGGTGTAACTGAGAAGACTGTTCTCTGCAGCTTCAGCTAATTCTGCATCTTCAGTAGCTTGTAAGAAGTACACATCATCAGTGCTATTATCCCAGTCAGTGTCAGAAGATGCACCTGGATTCTTGGCTTCACTGTTCCAAGTTTCATCTGCTGTAAACTCTTCCTTTATTTCATTGGGAAAGCGTGGTAGAGGAAATGGGATAGGAAGAAAAAGGCTTATTTAGTCAGAATCTTTGGGATCTCATTGTATACTCCAAATATATGAATGCAGGTATGAAGTAATGACCAGTTCTTCAACAGAGTAAAATGAACATGCTAGATAAATGTGAGACAGTCACCATGGGGATGTGTATACAAAGGTTGCTGCCTTTGTAGCTCACTCTTGAAACTCCAAGTTTTAAGTTGCCTGTGGTTCTTTGGCAGATGCTGGCAGTATCCCCAGATGGAGCTAGAGCAAAGGTAGATTTCATTTTTTTTTAACAAGTAGATAGTCTAACAGAAGACATTGGAAAATACTTTTGCTATCCTGACAACCAACTCTTCTAAATTATAAAGTATTTTTAAAATAAAATCATGGATTAGAATATTGTTACAAGGAATTATTTTGGTACAACTTTCAAAATATGACTACAGATTGTATATTAGATAATTTTAATTCCTTGAATTTAATAATTTAATACTTTTACCATTCCCATGTAAGCATGTCTTTGTTCTTCAGCTACATACTTAATTATTGAGAAAGATTTATGTAGGTGACAACTTACTCCCAAGAAATTAACCATAAATACTACTGTATATGTGTACATTAGAGGAAGCAAACAAATGTGGCCAGATGTTAGCACATGACAGATGTAGGTAAAGGATAAACTGAAGAGTTCCTTATTCTCATATAATATTTCTGCATTGTTTTCTTTTTCTTTCTTTTTTTTTTTTTTCTGTACCAGGGATTGAACTCAGGACCTTGAGCTTGCAAGGGAGGTGCCAGAACCATTGAGCTAAATCCCGGGTCTCTGCATTGTTTTCAAATCAAACTTTTAATCCAGATGATCAATGCAACAGAAAAAGCAATAAATAATGGTGACTGGTAATTTAGTTTAAAATATTTTAAAAAGATGAAGCAGAAATGACAAAATATTCAGTTAAAACTAAGTGAGATGTACATGGGTGTTCATTATATTTTTCTTTTATAATTTTAAATAAAATACTGTACACTAAGCATACTTTCAAGTTGGCACTTTTGAGGTATTACTAGATAGGCAGAGAATATAACTTAAAAATTCACTAACATCTGAGTAGGGTGATGGCACATGCCTGTAATCCCAGCACTGGGGAGGCTGAGGCAGGAGGATTACTGTGAGTTTGGCTCCAGCCTGAGCTACATTGTGAGTTCAAGCCTAGCTTGAACTACATAGCAAAGCTGTCCCAAAACACCAAACCAAAACAAAACAAATCCACTGAAACCCGAATCAAAATAACACTAACCAAAGATGACATGTTTCTCCTCCTTTTAAGAGACAAAAGTAATTTTTAAAAATTTATTTTGATCTTAGTTACTTATAAACACTTTTTAATCTAGAAGCTTTTGTATAATCTATCAGTTATTTTATATTCTGCTCTTAGAGGTAAGAAAGGGATTTCTGCTATTTTAAAGTTGGATGTGTTTTTTTCAACCCAAATTTAAAAGTTAAAAATACCTCCTGAAACTTCTGATAGTAGGTTGGATTTTCTAGAATATAAACTCAAGCATATACACAGCTTGTAGCTGGTAACATAATAATATAAAAGAAGGTGTTGATGGATGTGACAAAAAAAGTCTTAAAAACAGCTCAATCTGACACAGAGACTCAATAAAATATTTTTGCAAAATATTAATCAGATGTCATAGACAAATGGACAAAGGGCAGATATAGGCAATTCATAACAAATATAAATAGCCTGAAAAACAGTTCAACTTTATTAGTAAATGCAAATTAAAACAAGTAAAAACCCTCTTACGTACCAGGTTGGTAGAGATCACAAAGTAAATGTCAGCAGTGCTGGCCAAAAGTATGCAGTAGGAGTGCTCTTATCAACTATCTGTGGAAGTCTAATTTCCTATTGTTTTTATGAAGAGCAATTTGGTAACAGTTACTACTGAAAATATTTGTGATACTTTAGGAAAAAATCTACGTAGTATGACTTCTAAAAATATAATTGAACCTACATAGCTATAAATTTGGAAGATCTTTGCTAAAACTTTGACATCAGTTGCATTGAATTATGAGTGGGGAAGATTTTTTCCCCTTTTTGCTTTACAAGTATTTCCTATTTTTTTTTCTCGTGATTAGTTTAGATAAACAAAAGTTTTTCAAAGAAGAGTTAAATGTTGGTTTGGCAATATAAGTACTATCTACCAAATTTAAAACTATATATACCCTTTGATACAACTCTAGAAGTTCATCTTAGAGATACGGTTGTTCAAAAAAACACAAAGATGGGCACTTTGGTTTACTTTGTCAATTATTCATAGCTTATTTACACTGTTGTACCAAGAACTAACCAGTAACGAGAAAGATGAAAAGCTGCACTGACCTCTTTGAAAAGAAACAGGAGGCTTACTTCAGCAGGTAATGGAAAGCCTGAATGAGAAAGATATAAAACTATATTATATGGATATTTAATTTTTAGTTTGTGGTAAGTGTAAAAATTGATAACTCACAGTCAGATTTGAAGTTTTCTGCCTTACAAACAGGATCATGACATTTTTGATACCAAACTTCGTTTTTCAGATCAACAACAATCCTTCATGTTAAAAAAAATATATATTAAGTCCATACCAACTGGAAAACAAAATTCAGTTATACGCTGTCTGTATGCCTTAAGTATGAAGAAAAATTAAAAAGTAAATGAACAGAAATAGATACACACTAACCAAAAGCAAATACTTGCTAGGAATAGCACACAAAATGGACTTCTGGGCAAAAAAAAATAGATACTGGCAAAGTCCCCGCTTCCCACACAAACACCAGAAAGACACAATTCTCAACTTGTGTCCACCAAACAATACAGTGTGAAATCATGTAAGCAAAATTGATAGAGCTATAAGGATAAACTAATATACCTGTAAAAATAATCTAGCATAAGTCAAGATTTTTAAAAAATGTTATTGGTAATCTATAAATTGAATAATCACAAAAAAAGTTCCAGAATGCAGAAAATATGAATAAAATATGAATATAAAAGCAATTAATGAAATCTGATCTATGCATATATGACACAGTTATTTATAACTATATATAAACCAATAATAAAAGCTGACTCCAGGATTGGGGATGTAGCTCAGCAGCACCACATCTGCCTGGCAAGCGCAAGGTCCTGAGTTTGATCCCTGTTACCAAACAAAACAAAACAAAACAAAACAAAAAACCTGACTCTATAATGTGAATTATATCAAATTTAAAAATACAAATTCATGTTTATTCTCTGACCACACGGAAAAATTTACAAGTAAAAAGCTAATAGAAACCCATAATTTAAAATTTTAAAAATTTCTAAATAACAAGTTGCTAGAGATTTATGGAAATCAAATTACTTTAATGTAACAAAGTAATACCTATTAAATTACATGAAATGCAGCTCAAGTAATCTTTAAAGGGAAATTTATAGTTACAAAAGTTCATGTTATGAAATGGGATAAAGATAAACGAATTAAGTAACCAATTTAGAAAATGAACAATAGAATAAACCTTAATTCTGAAAATAAGCAATAGAATAAGCCTTAATAAAAGACAGGAAGTAACAAACAGCAAAAACTTAAAAGAAAGCCAAAATTTGAAGGCAAATTATTGTGATACTGAAAAATAAGGCAGATACAAATTTTAGAAGCAACATACCATAAAACCTTAATATTCTCAACGTTTGCCAGTATCTGAAAATTTTGATAAAACAAAGTACTAAATAAAAATTAAGCAAATTAACAGAAAAAAAAAACTAACAGAAAAAATAACCACCAATAATAAAATTCAAAATGTCCCACATTTCACAGAAGAGGAAACACAAAATGGCTAATATTCCCCATGGTGACTGGAGAGGTGATGGTGGGCAGGTGGTGATCAACCTGTGCCCAGAAAAAGACAAGTGACTTGGTCCAATCTCCTGTACACATTCCAATAACAGACTCCCTGATACATGGACTAATGCTACAGTTCCCACACTATACACTAAAGTGCCCAGGACACTAGGGTATTTCAGTCTATGAAACACAGTGATACTTGCTATTTGTCAGACACCTGAAAATGGCTTGTTTGCAGTTCCTATCTTTATTATTACTTGGCACCTCATTCCTTTTAATGATGTCTATCTTTGTAAAGCCAAGGTTTTTGGTGGCAATGTGCTAAATGTTATTACCATCATGTGGAACACTATAAGAGTTGGAGGTGATGGTATCCAATCTGATTCCAAGGTTTAAGAGTTTATGTGATGCCCAAAAGGGCATAACTTCCCATTAACAAGTTATAGTATTTACGAATAAAAAATTTTCTTCCAACTTATGAGTACTGTTTTTCAAAATATCTGCTAACTTGTTAGGATATAATTACTTATCAAGCTGTTTGCAAGTAACTAACTAACAGAACTCTTAGGTATTTCCTTTGGCCTTGGAAAATGTGAGAAAAAATTACTAAGGTACTAGAATATCATAGACCATTTGGGAACCTCTGGACCAAAGGGTAGGAGGATAGTCTTTGTTTATAGATGCTCTTTGTAGAATGTTTCTGATTTTAGGAATGAATGTAGTAAATAAACCTAGAGCCCAGGACTTGTGAGGCATGGTTCCCAGGAAATGTCACCCATGCGATGGAAGTACATGAGTATAAAATACTGATGTCTCATGACCTCAGTGCTGCCTGCTTTGTGCTGACTGCTCAGTTCTGCCTTGGGTGTCAGCCTGAGTCAGGTCAACAATGCAGGGATGGAGGGAGTGGCCCAGTGTCTCAGGCCCCACTCTGCTTCACCTGTGACTCCTCATTCCTGGTATCCTGACATTACTAGTAAAGATTAGTATTAAATAGATCTGACTTGTGTGTGATTTGATAATCTAATCCTCAACTTCATTACTAATCACAGAAACAAAATCATCTAACACCTACTAGATCAGCAAAACAAATTTTTAAAACCTCACAACACTAAAGTGTTGGTGAGAATATGGGGCAGCAGAAAATGTGAAAACACTGCTAGTAGGAATATAAATTAGCACAATCATTTGTTATCTAGTAATTTAGTATCTAGTGAAATATGTAAATAATCTATGACATGGCAGTTCTACCTTTGGATAGATACTTTGAGGAACTCTTGGACATGTGTATTAGGCAACCTGTAGAAGAAAATCCAAAATATTGACTCAGTGCCCACTGTAGGACAACAGATAAACTAACTGTAGCATATTCACATTTATATAATAGCATACTATACAATAATAAAAAAACATGCAATAGCTGTATGTTACAACATAAACAACATGGACAAACCTCACAAATACAAGGTTGACCAATGAGCACGTGAAAGGAATCAATTAAAAATGTAAAATAGCCAGGGATTTAGCTCAGTGGTTTCGCCACCTGCTGCGCAAGCACAAGGGCCCGAGTTCGATCCCTGGTACCAAAAAAGTAAAAAATAAATAAATAAATAAAAATTAAAATGTAAAATAAAACAATATATTAGGATTTGGCCCAACAGGTGCATCTGAAATTTGGTTCTTCTCCTGACCCCCCAAACCTCTTTTTCTCTCACTCTGTAGTGCCAGAGATTGAACCTAGGATCTCTACATTGAGCTACATCCCCAGCCCTTTTTAAATTTTGAAACACTGTCTCACTAAATTGTTAAGTTACCCAGGCAAAGCCTGAATTTGTGATCCTCCTGCCTCAGCCTCCCAGACTGCTAGGATTACAGGGATGCACCCCTATACCTAGCTTAGGTTCTGTTTCTAAAAAATTACTGACAGTTACGAGAGGTTGCCATTTTAGTTTTAGTCTTTAGAATGAACATATATGTTACATATTTTTTTATATATTATACATTTCAAAGTTAAAAGAATAGATTATGGATATATAATACAACTTGGTATGATCATTGTATGATAATGATTTTTTTGGAAAGTATGTATGCATTGAGAAAAGACTAAAAAGATATGCCAAAAGGATGTTAGTTATCACTAGATTGCGGGATTATGAGTGTTTTATTCTGTAATGGTTTTTTGTTGTTGTTGCTGTTGTTATTTGTGTGTATTGAGCATAGTTTTTGATGTTTTTAAAATGTAATTAATCTAGGTTTATCAAAGACAACACTGAATTATGGTACATAACCTGTTTTCTAGCTTTCCAGAAAAATCATTTCCTCATGTCTAATCTAGCACATGAACTGCATAGGCTTGGTTGTACTGGAATTTCACCTTTGACATAAAATATAACAAAATTTCTCATAACTGCTAACTACTAGACTTTTATCACTATTCTAATCATATTCTCATATCATTTAAAATTCTATTTCTGGCTTTACTTTGTATTTTACTTCTTCTCCTTTTACTGGATGGGAAAATTGCTAAAACCTCAAGCAGGGTCTTGTACATAAAGCAGGCATACAGTAAATACCAGTTCTCTTCTATACCATGTTTTGTCTTAAAGTTAATATCACCTTACTACTATCCAATGAGTTTCCTTTTTGCTCAAATCTACCCAATTTCAATTCCCTAAGGCATCAAGGCAGGGCTTCCCATCACTGTTCACTTATCCCCGCTGCATTCGTTTCAGGCCACTCCTCTACTGCCTTAGTCTTCTCAAGATTATACTAAGAGATTATTTCATCAAATAAATTATGAATACAGCTTTTAAGTGCTAGAAGCCATCTAACAACTAAGATATTCAAATCAAATATTATAAAACATTTACCAAATACAATAAATATAAATTTAACTACAACTTCATTTATTCTCAAAGCAAAATTTTTCTATTTTCAATTTTCTTCAAAACCTGGAAACATTTAAATGTAATATCAGTTAAGTACAAACAACTCATCCATAAACAATATTACTTACATGATATTATTACTCTTGTGAGCTCTTCCAATGTTTTGACACCAGCGATATCTGCAAATATCATAAACCAGTAATTCTTCTGGGAAAAAGTAGTTCCAACGCCGAATTCCTAAAGTGCAAAAATTGTTTCTAAAGGTACTTTTTCTCTACCATATAAGAGCTAATAAAGAGTAAGATTAGATTTACCTCCTTTAGTGTCATTTTTAGTAACCAAAGAAAGAACAAAACGATCAATTTCAGGGTAGGGTGAACATTGAAAGCCTTCGATGGTTTCTACTGCAACAAAGAATTGTAGATAAAATTAGCTAAACCATGAAAGTTAAATTTTGATTATACTGTTGTTTGTACAGTTAGGGCTTCTGCAACTCCTCGACATTTCCCCCCCCCTTTCTCATTTGCAATTTGTTTTGGTCAGTTCCTGAGTTCTTGCTACCCAATAAGGAAGTGGGTAAAATTCAAATCTCAATTAGGCCATATGTTGATTGATTTTCATTAAAAGCCTCTAGATAATTTTAAGTGCTTTCTTCACTCTGACAAAGAGAGAAGCATCCGCTCATACCCTGGAGCTGCTGAGCCTCATTCTACCAGGGAGGTCCTATACTGCCAAGAGGGGGCCTGGCTCTTGTACCTCTGCCTTATCATGTTCTGCTGCTCAGTATATGTGACTTCGAAAAACTTCACCATTAGATAAAGGCACACTGTGATTATAAAGATTTCAGAAATAACAGGACCTCTCTGTAACCATATCTGAACAGAGACAAAGCATGAACATTTTCCAAACCACAAGAATGGGCAAATATCACTCCCCATCCTGGCTAACAGAAGTACCTGTTGCTGCTTTACTGAGGACAACCTGAGTCTCCTTCTAGTCTGCCTCCGTCTACACAAGATTTATTAAGATAACCAATCATAGAACTGGATGTGGCAACATCCAATTCAGAACAAACCCCTGCTTCCTCGTACACTTCCATGGATCACAGCATCCAGGCCCCAGTCCACCTTTTCTGAGGACCCTGAGGGTGCTCCACTGCTTTACAGAGCCATAAACAACTTGTTCTCTGTGGTACATTCCCTGTAGTCTTTCACTGTAGGGCACTGGCAACTCAATTTTACTTTGTATCTATTTATAATCTAATTTGTAAAGACAGAAAAAAATCTAGTTTTCTTAGAAGGAGGTCTATATTTTACTTGTCTGGAAATACATGTAATAACTGGAAGAAAATTAACACATAAGTGAATGTTACCATTTTTAATAGTCATGTGAGATAACATACATATAATTTTAGAGTCTGCTTTTTCTTTTACTATCATAAAGGGTGTCTTCCACATAACATAGGCCTTACAAATCTAAATTAATGGCTATAGAGTGTTTCACAGTATGTAAATGATATACCAAAATATATGAATAAAAAACACATACTAAAGAGTTTATGTAAGAAATCTTAGAAAAACCCTACATATTCTTTAGTATGGGAATGAGTAAATGATGATAAAGCCATACCACAAAACACTGCAACCATTAAAAGAATGAGCTCTATACTGGAAAAGCAGGGAAAGCTTGACTAGGTTAAATAAGAAACTACTATAGTGGTTACCTATTTTTGAGGAAAGATGTGTAAAAAAAAATGTCCATTTTATTTTGAGATGTATTTATTTTATACAAACAACATAACGTTTGTTTGAAATACTATAAAATAAAAATTAATGAGTAATATTTTCATAAACATCTTCTGTTTATAGTGTTTTCATCTTGGATAGAAACCTAGAAGTAGTTTCAAATGAGCCATGATAAGAATACTTAAAATTACCTGAACTGCTGGTACTGTTAACATGCTCAGTTCGCTTTCGTTTATTCTGAGATGTGTCACATGTAAGAATCCGTAAAGAATCTGAGAATCTGAAGAGGTAAATATATTTTTAAAAGTAACATTATATTAGAATTAAAGTGGCATGACTATAGAGAGGAAATTGAATTCCAAATAATTTCATTTTTATGTCACATTTGCCCACAAAAGCACCAATCCTACCATATAAAAAAAAGAGATGGGGCTGGGGATTTAGCTCAGTGGTTCCACCACCTACCTTGCAAGTGCAAGATCCCAAGTTTGATCCCTGGTACCAAAAACAAACAAACAAACAAAAAAAAGATAAAACTATGATGGTGGACACCTGTAATTCTAAGACTTAGGAGGTGAGGCAGGAGGACTGCAAGTTCACACTCAGCTATATAACAAGAATGTGTCTCAAAAAACAAACAAAACAAAAAGTATAATTTGCCAATTAAATAGCAGATTGATAAACCAGGTGTGGTGGCACATGCCTACAATCCCACCACTTGGGAGGCTGAGGCAGGGGGATCACTGTTTGAGTCCAGCCTGGGTTACATAGTAAGTTCAAGGCCAGCCTGAACTACATGGCAAGATTCTGTCTCAAAAACCAAAAAAAAAAGACTGATGATCATTTAAAATACTTTTCTCAATCATAGAATGAATCTGAGGATACTAGAACTGCAACATTAAAAATATAACTATTGTCCAAACACACAAACTTTGAAATTTTTGTTATAATTATTTAAAAAGTGTGAATAGGAAGAAATGATGAAGGATAAAACCAAAAAGAAAACATGATTAACTGAAAGAAGCCAGGCATGGTGGTACATGCCTGTAATGCCAGAATTCTGGGAGGCTGAAGCAGGAGGATTACAAATTCAAGGCCAGCCTTGGCAATTTAACAACTAACTTACTGAGAGACTCTGTCTCAACATTTAAAAAGAATTTTTAAGGGCTGGGCATGTAGCTTGGTGCAAAGGCCCTGGGTTCAATCATGAGTACAGAAAAACTAATTAAAAGAAAAAGCATATTAATAACTATAATCAATTTAGCCTTGTTTCCTGGAAATGAAACACCTAGTACTGTATTTACTTATATATACAAAACATAATTAAACTTATTCAAAAGAAAAATGTTCCTCTTCTGTTTTGTTTTTGGTTGTTGTTTTTTTGGTAAAATGTTCCTCTTCTGTAAGATTAATATTGAAACTGCAGCAAGAGTCATTGAACTTTTATATTATTATATCACTTCCAGACTTGCAGATTCTGCCACTGCCACCAACTAACACTTCTAAGCAGATAGCAGGTGCTGGGCACTGTTTGAATGTTTTACAGTAAATGTATAGTTTTAACTTCATTCTCTCAACAAATAAGGTAAGTTATTGTTATTTCCACTTTAAAAAACTGAGATACATTATTAAAGGAACACAAAGAATATAGAGATATATGGGGAAAAAAACTATCTTTCCACTCTCCTGTGTGACAGATGCTAACTGGATATCATTAACACAACCTTCTACAGAACAGTGAATTTTAAATATTTATTCTTAAAATTAATTTCTATGGACTTTTTCCTTAAAATAATATTTAGGAAAGATAAAGGGAAAAGAATCAAGTTAATGGTGATTTAGTTTGATCATTAACCACATGCTTTATGCTAACAAAACTGCCAGAGGGCCGGGGATTTAGTTCAGTGGTTCCACCGCCTGCCTCACAAGTGCAAAGGTCTGGGGTTCAATCCCTGGTACCAAAAACAAAAAACTGCCAGCTTAGATAAAAAGAGAATGAATAAAGATGACTTTCACACTTTTTTTTTAAAAACAATTTTTTTTTTTTGCGGTACCAGGGATCAAACTCGATCTTGGGCCTGCGGGGCAGGCATGGTACCACTGAGTTAAATCTCTGGCCCTCTCACACTTTTTAAAAATGACCAAACACAGGAACCTAAATGAACAGAAGATCTGACAATAAGTTAAAGAATGTCATTATAATGGAAAATTATATAGGCATTATAAGTTTTGTTTACAATTAACATTTAGCAAATTATTAATTTGGTAAATACTTATAATGCTGAAGAGGAAAAAAACAGGTGGTATACAAGTAATGATCTCAAGACATTTTGGAGAGGTAGGAGGCAGTGCTAGGGATGGGAGCTAAGGGCTGAGCATGCCAGGCACATGGTCTGAATAAAGAAGCTATGTAAATTGTAAATACATATGTGTATATGTGAAGAGAAAATGAGATATTAACAGCAATTCAATTTTCAAATGCAATTCAAGTAGTTTTCTTCTTTATAAAAGTGAATCCATTTACAAAAAATACATGAAATATAATCATAAAAACATTAAAGAGAAAACTAAGTGGTAAAAAATACCTTTTATTATTATTTTTCAGTTGATGGAAAGAAGAATTTTAAGAACTTTATCTTTCTGTAGAATGAATTTACACAATTCACATTTTAGTAACATACCATGCTATTCACTATTTAATAAATATTCATGGATATACAGTGGTTTAATTCTGATATCACATACCTGATGTTGCTGACCAAGGAAGAGAGGAAATACTGGTTTTCTTCAGAAATATTTTTTGACTGTTTAGGAAAAAATTTGTTATCTTCAGCAACCTCCAATGCCACGCACTTTCCTATTTTTGATGATTTATATAATCGAAAGTTTCTGTTTCTTGTATAAACTCCTACATCAAAAGTAAATTTAAAAAATGAATTCATGTTTTCTGTGATTAGTTTAAATTGATTATATTATTAAGTGGTTTGACTGAAATCATTTATTAAATTTAAATTATTCACTTTAATTATTTTGTATAGATTAGAAGAAACAATTTTCTATATACAGTTATAAATAAAATTATAGCAATATATAAATTATGATAAACTAGAGTTGACATGGAAGAATGCCACATTCAGAAACAGCAAAGTAGACTGCTTTGGAGCAACTAATTGAAAACAAAATGGTTAGGCTGAAAACAGTAGCAAGAAAGCTGATGCAATGGCCCCTAACACCACCAACGAGTCTGCCACTATTGCAAAGCTCTTCAGTCAAGAAAATGCCCAGCCTTACTTTGCCACACAGGTAATGTTTTTATATTGTGTCTGTTTTAAGATTGATTTAATCTGTTAACTTCTTAGCAGTGTGGGAGGGTGCTGGTTCAACTGTCCCCAGACAAACCTCTTGACAAGAATCCCACAGACATTTCCAGCACAGCCAGCCACAGGCACTCTCTCATGTTGCTTATGCCTGCCTGGGGCTTGCATTTCACAGGGACCATCCTAAGAACTCTAAACAGAAGCCTAGGCAATTCTGGTATCTGAGGTCACTGATACACTCTGCTGGTGACTTACAATGTGGCTGTGGAACACTGGTGGTAGCAAGAACCTAAGCATCAGGACAAGTAGAGACTGACTGGTGTTTCACAAAGTACACAGCACAGTTTAATAGAGACAGCTGTCAATGTCACTTACCTAGATCCACAAAAAGATGCTCTTCTCCCGTATTACTCTTCACAACTAAAAATGAAAGATCAGGACTGCTTTGCTCAGCTGACTCCAGTCTCTCTGGTATCTCTGAATTCAAAGTCCAGCTCTTTGCTATATCCTTATCTGGGGATGTTTGGTTAAAGGAAATTTCTTGTTTTAATGGTGTTTCAGGAAAATGAGAAAATTCATGACCCACTGGGTTTGGAATCCTATTATCATATTCACTGGAAATTAAGTGTAGAGCAGGCTGCAAAATTTTTCTCACAAAATTACCTAAGGAAAAAAGGTATTACGATTAATTCTGCTTTTCAGCAAACTATAACTTAAGATTGAGGCACAAATGTACACATGACAGTTTTACACAGTAAGGTATATTTTGTTTTGTTTTTTAATTTCTCATTTTACAACTGAGTTGTTGTAGAAACTAACATGTGTGTTCTGCTATGTCCTTTTACTTTCTCAATCTTGGTGTCAGTTGTAAACAAATCATTTACATATAGCTAATATGGGCCTGAGCCTAACATGCTGTCATCAACAGAGCACCACTGTTATTAACACAAATTAAGCAGAATTATCTTCACAATTGATGATTAAAGAATGAAGGGTTTACATGAAGAAGCTACATCCCATTCCTGTCAAGATAATGGCCAGAAACACTGACAGCATCTTTGCTATACCCTCCTAGAGTTGTTGGCAAACGTCTCATGAGGTCATTCTCTCCTTTTCCTGCCATGACACGCCCTGAGAATGCTGACTTTGTCTCAAGGTTGCTTCTAACCCTACCTCTTGAATTATAGCCTCAGCGATAAGGTCCAGAAAAAAGGCAGTCAAATACATTTTGACCCAACATTTAATGTCAGAGCACTGAGTAGCAGTGGTGCTATCTGCATCCTGAAATGTTAGTGAGACAATCTGGAACTGCTTTAACCTCGTATATACTATTTATACCACACATTAAGTAATAATTTGGCTATTAAGTTGCTTCATGTATAAACAATACTGCAGAAATGCAATACTATAGCACTGTAGTAGTCTGAGTTTATTACTTTATTTACCAGAAAGGCCTCAGTCCTTAAATCATAACAAACACACACTAAATTCAAAATTCTCCAAATTAGACTTAATTATTTTTCTGTTCAAAGAAACAAATCCAATTTCTTTAAACATCAAAATGAAAGCAAAAGCACTTGATCTTTGCAATGTGGTTATTTCTTTTTTTTTTTTTGCAATGTGATTATTTCTGAAATGAGGAGACGGTAAACACTGAATGACAAGAAACCAAAACATATCAAAGGATAATAAAGCAATAAATATAAATCGATAGAGTTAATTTTCCTGGAAACATCTAGTTGCATCTACTTGACCCTAAGCAATAAGTGAGTTTGTGGTTGTAGAAAAAGTGGCAATGTCAGTTCCAGAAGGCCAGTAGGCCTTTGACCCGAGGGAGCTAACAAGGCCAGGAGTGATGACAGTGGGCCAACACAAACAGTAATACTGGCTTCCTGCAAACTACTTTGTTTCTATTTCCCTGCTCTAATCTGTTACTCCCATTCCTCCTTAGACAGGGTGCCTATTGGCTGGGAATAAATCAAAAGAACTAATCAGAAATTTCAGGTACTATAGCAGATGAGTATTTTTACAGATCAGATCCTAACATCTGTTACATTTAACCTAATTCCTCTTTCTGAGATGCAATTTGAACTGTCATCAAGAGATACACTGTGGGTGGGAGGGAAACTAAAGGGAAAATCTGGACTACTGTACTTCATAGTATCCACTTCTGATTCTGGCAAATCATAACTTTAGAGAAATGAGCCTTAGATGACATCCCATTTATCAGTTCTGACTATGTCTCTCACTTCAGCTACACCTACAGCAGACTCCACTGCTCCCCAAACTAACCACAAACTAGTATTTCTATACTTTTGCTTATGCTGTTTTCTCAGATAGCGAAGGCTTTTTTTTTTTTTTTTTGGTACCGGGGATTGAACTCGGGACCTTGCGCTTTCGAGGCAAGCAGCAGAACCACTGAGCTAAATCCCTGGCCCAACAAAGGCTTTCTTTACTTTGTCTGTATGATGAAATTTTATTCAAAGCCCAGACTGCTTTCAGAAAATACCTATGGGACAGACTGTTAGCTATCTGACAAATTTCTATTCTTTTCTTCTTGAGCAACAGAGTCAATTTCTAGCGTTGCTATATATGCCAAGCTCTGAAATTACAATGGTTAAAAAAAAAAGAAAGAGAGAGAGAAAGCAAAACAAGAAACTCCCTCAGGAAGTGGTTAATGCTTTGACAGAATAAGCACTGGACACTGTCTGAAACCCAAAAGAACATTACCCAAATCTTAGGGTTTTGGACGTGACAGAAACAGATTCTCAGATAACTTGAAATCTACACTGTATCTTAACAGACCAGGTGAATTGGAGGTATGTCTGTTCAGGTAGTAGCAACAAAAAGCCCAAAAACTCAAGGACTACAGAAAATGCACCCACATTAGGAGCTAAGCAAAGACAGACTGGAGAGATGAGGCCACAGCAGAGTGGGCCTCACTAAAGAAGCTAAGACATCTGTGCTTTTTCCTGAAGCCAAGGGATAATAACTGAAGGGTCCGGCATGTGAGTGGTAGGATCAGCTCATTTTAACTAGCTGACTAAATATGCAGGTAGAGAGATATACAGAGGTCAAACAGGACACCAACACTTCCACTGGAGTAACTGGCTGGATAGTGTCACCATCCACTGATACACACAGCACAGGAGGAGTAAAGTTTGAGGAAATGAGGAACCTGAGGCACACTGAGCTTGAAGTATCTGTATTGACATGGTTAGTGGGCAGTTGGCTGTCTGAGTCTGACATCTAGAAGAACAATGTGGTTTGACTGAGAGTCATCAACAATGATGATAATTGAAGCCAAGACAGCAAATGATCGTTAAGGGTGAGGACAGAGTGAGAAGAGGGTTGGGGATAAAATCTACAATTACTAACATCTAAGTGATGAAAGAAGAGAGAAGGAATGTCTAGCTAAGCTAACAGAAAACAGTAAGGAGCCCTGTGTACATAGCACACTGGATCAGTTTCTGTGGGATCCTAACTCAGGCCAGTTCATTAGTGACCATGTTCATGCTATTTACTCTAGGTAACTGTGAAACTGTAAGACACCTATAGCTCTGAAATGGGTTGCCGTTACTGAACTTGAGTCAACTGTCTGCTGTTTAGATCTAGGAATATTTGTCTCACTCCAGCTTTGAAAACAGTTTTGATTCTATTTAGACCTTGGTGTTTGGCATTCCCATTTTGCCTATTTGTCTCCCCTTTGCCTGACTTTATTTATTTTTTTTCCCATTAAGTTTAATGGTACATTTTAGGTATACAATACAGTTACATTCATCATTGGGATCTTGTACCATTACATAAGTATCTTGGTTCTCATTTTTTTCCCCTTCCCCTGCCCTCCTTTCACCCCCTCCACCCTTCCCTATTTGCAAAGACCTTGTTTCCATTTTTTTCCTTTTCTCATATTTTTTCTTTT